ATGGGCAGCAGCATCTTCCTGATAACAGCTAAAAATAATAAAAACTACGGCCAAGCGTGGCAGCTTTGGCAAATATTTCCCTATCAGGCTATCTATAGGGCAGCTCTATCTACATTCAGCAGTCCAAGTTTATAAGCTATGACATATATATGGATGAATGAAAGAAATAACTTTATCCGATTATTAACACTGGTGTCCATAATTGGCAGTTTCAATTTAATAATACTCTTGTCGATATTTGGAATAAGGATGGTTGCAGTCTTATTTTTGTTCAGTGAGGTTACAAATCTTAAAATAGGCATAATAAAACAACAAAACAAAGCAAGCCTGAACCAGTTTACTTTTAAAATATATCCCAGAATTTGAAGAATGCGTTGGCAAAGAACAAGCATTATAGTTATGGAGGAAAAGAGTTGAAATAAAGACCAAAAAATAAAGAAAATAATCACAACGAAATGGTCAATTCCTTTGTTGGAAAATTAAATGGTTTGCTCTTTAACGAACCTCCAACTGAGGATTGGATCGAATGAGATGATTATCAGATGTGGAAGCACGCAAAATTATTCTCATAATATACAGGAATTGTTATTATTTTTGTGAATTTTGTCAAGAGTTTTACGGTATTCGGAGTTGTGTTGTGATTAGTGAAGGTGATTTCAATTTCGTTTTGTTTGATGTTGAAATATCTACAAGTTGTAATTACGATCATTGACATCTATAGAACCTGTTAACCTACTCATATTCAGGAATTCATATAAATAATGAAGAAAAATATATCTAAAGAGTGAAATTAAAATCATTGGCATTGAACCTGTTATTCTACTCATATACAGGACTTTTATCCGCAGTCATGCTTGCATTGTTCTGACCGGTTACATTGTTGGAGTGCGTGTATGGCTGTGTGAATCTTGTTTTGACCACCTAATGAATTGTATATAGAGAGGTCAGTGTAATGAATAATTTCTAATTTCATATAGCATATCGTTGGAAAGAGTAAGAACTAAAAAAACTTTTTAGAAGAAAGTTAAATTCAAAAAAACTTTTAGGTTTTTTTTTTAATGAATTTTGAAGTTGTCACTTTACATTTGCACATATTTATGACTGACAGCTCAAAACTATTTTTTAATGTGAATTGTATCAAGTAATGATTTATTTTGAATAATAATACATTTGACAATGCAGCACAAGTATTTCGTGGTATTACACTAAGGACTCTACCGGGGAAATGTAGCGTATGACCTGCCCAACCCCTCAAAAATACCATACACCGAACAACCTGTATTACTACGCCAAAAATTTACAAACAAATTCTTTAATAAAATAATGAAAAAAATTTCTGTAGGGTGATATTAAGACCATTTTGCACAATTGAACCTGTAATTCTACCCATTTAGAGGGATATTTTAAAAATTAGTATGACGCAGAATTTTTTTAAAAAGTAAAAAATAAGTGACGTTAGTACATTTATCTACTTATTTTTCGCGATTTGAGTATTAGTTGTAACACAGAATAAATAATAGTGCTACGTACTCGTAGTTATTTACGTCTTTGTTTATTTCGAATGCATGCGAACTTGAATTAGTCTTTGCCCTGACCATTGTCCCTCAATTGTCCTTGACGGGATGACGGGTGACGTGTGCATGCAACATAATGGTTTTCTTCGTGTTTATTTGTAACCAAGTGACAATTCACTTAGAAAATGACTAAATATGTTTTTAAAGTTTTCCTTATGTGCAATCATAGATATAGTAAAATCTATGTTTGCAATATTGTTGCTTTTGTTTCTAGTTGTTTTAGTTTGAACCCAACGTAGTTTCTATCAAAATAAAATTATATTTAGACCGAATTTCGGTCGCGATGGCTAGTCTCAACGGAGACTTTGAGACTGTCCATCGCGCAGGACTGGATTATAGTGCCCGAGTGTATGCGTAAGCACAAGTGCACTTTCTGTTCCCTCACTCTCATAGTCCGATGGGACAGTTTTCGACACGATCGGAGAAAGATCAGGCGCAGGACCAAATGGTTTTGCGTGCTTCTCGAGGCACGGAGGTGAAACACGGCCAACTTACTGACTCCGGGCTGCAATTGAGAATTCTTAACAGAAAACACAATAAATAACCGACCCGGGATTCAAACCAAGGATTTCATGGTCAGTAACCGCGTTTACGACTACTAGACCAACAGGGCAGGCAATATTAAGTATATTATTACTATAAAGGGATGCCGATGATTTTAATTTCAATATGTAAGTATATGAGTTATTTTGCAATAACCGGCCAAATTTTGCAGAGAAGGTTCCGAATTTATATAGACAAATAGTGAAGAAAAATTAATTAAAAAGAATCTCAAACATTCTGTCCTCTTTATCATTTAAATTTAAAAATAGCGTGGCAATGCATTATTTTAACTGATTTTATCACGCACGCACACATTCGTAAGGTTCTATCGGTAGACAAAAACGTTGTTGCCCATAAATCACATTAAATTTGAGATAATTTCAAATAATAGTAGAAGCCTTATTTACTCGTATTTTCAAAAACTGCAATAACGGTATATTATTATTTATATATTTCAACTTAAGTTTAAAATTTGGCCAATCTTTGAAAAATAACCCTGTATATTTGAGATATTTAGTGATCGATCGACCACTCCCTTGATCTACAAGTTTCTGTATTTATGCCATTGATGCCATAGTGGTAAGGCTGATTTTGTAGTAACCTAATAAAAATATTCGTACCTAATAATTATTATTCTTTTAACGAATGAAGTCATTTAGATATGTAAGTAAACAATTTTATCCTATACTGCGTTTTTGAAACCCGTTTTGGTTCCCTTAACCGTTTTGTTCAAAACTTGTACCCGTCTCGAGTTATCCCTGCGGTGAAACGCTTTTTGGAACAGGTTCTTCGCGAGGTGGTTGCTGTATGAAATAATAATTTAACTTCGTCAAATTTAAATTAATTTAATTTTATGCTTACATCCTTTAAATACGTCAAATCTCGCGTTAAAATTAAATAAGCGATGAAGTTGATGGTAAAGGTGATAAAATAAATCATGATTCAGATGATTTTACGTCTAATATTTTTTTAAAGTTACTTTAAAAATAAACTAGTAAGAGATAGCATTGTTATAGAGAAAGATACACAGTTCAAAAATCTGAGCTAAACATTGAGGAATAGGTGTAGAATTAGCCAAGATTTTAAGATTACAATGTCCTATACGCGATCAATTGTCATGTACGGTTGTCATGATAGTTTGCAAATATATTATGTGCTATGCACGCAGCACGAACGTGAAAACATACGCGGGATAAAATTAGGATTGGGTTGACTTTATTGTATAATTTATAATACTTTCTAGGGTTCCGTACCTCAAAAGGAAAAAACGGAACCCTTATAGGATCACTTTGTTGTCCGTCTGTCTGTCTGTCTGTCTGTCTGTCTGTCAAGACCCTTTTTCTCAGGAACGCGTGGAGGTATCAAGCTGAAATTCATATCAAATATTTAAATCTACGATCCCTTAGAGCTGTGAAAAAATCAAACTTCTAAGCCAACGCAATCAAAAGATACAGCCGTTTATGCCGCAAATTTTCGACATTCGTAAGGGAATCAAAACATACAGGGTACTTCCCGTGAACTCAGAATCTTGAAATTTGGTACGAAGCAACGTTTTATTGCACAGATAAAGGAAAAATTGCGAAAAGTATAAATTTTTAGTTACATTATATAATAAAAATATTTTTAATAATTTTAAACTTATATACCTACAGATTTGTTCGGAATCCTCGGTGCGCGAGTCCGGCTCGCACTTTGCCGGTTTTTTATAATTTATTCACTTTCTAAATGTCAATTTTCATGACACGCCATCATTTTAAGGTTATTATGTTTTATTTTATAAATATTGATTGATTAAATGTATTTTAGTGAAATTTATTGCACAATCGACGCAACCAAGAAGAAAATTGCGCAATGTAAAACTGATAAATGTCACTTTAATAATCCTATCTAAATAATAAATAAATAGTGAATGTAATGTATTTTTATAAAACTAATAATTCCTCCGACCAAAGCAAATTTCGTGAACCGCGGAAAGTATAGATTAAAGCATGTTTATTTGTATTTGTTCTTTTATTGTGTATATTGGTTATTGTGGATAACACGGTTTTATATTATGAATTTAATTACTCTAATTTTGCCAATATGTAATGTAACGTAATACACTGAGCTTTCAATGTTACATTATTTTTGCTAAAAGATTAGTCACAATATAAAGTATTTTTTTATAGAGTAAGGGTGACATATGAGCACAAAGCCCACGTAATGGTCAGTAGATGCTATGGCCCATAGACAACTATATTTTTCTCAGAGAATCAGAATGAATACGCGTTGTCAGCCCAGAGGATTAAGATGAAATTCCTCGTTTCCAGTAAAAAGGATCTCCGGTTTTCTACATTCTCTATACGAAACATAGTAGCATTAAGCTGCTGTTTTACGCTGGCATTTTGTGAGAGCGTGATCCTTCCCCGGCCGAGCCGATCCATTCTAAAACCATAGTATAGCTGCTCGTGTCCAACATTTAAAAAATAATAAAGTAATGATTTAATTTTGAACTTTTAATACTTTTATTTCCATACATTAACTTCAAAAAGGTCAATCGATTGTTTTCTAACCAAAGTTTTGCTTTGTTTTCCTGTTATTCTAATTGCCAACAATAATTTAAAATTTAAAATTTTGTACAGCCGACTTCAATATAAGCGTCTTCAATATAAGTTATTTAAGAATAACTCAAAAAATATTGGTCTGACCTTGATCAAAATCATATGGGACCACACGAGAAGCTTTCAAATAAAAAAAGAATTATCGAAATCGGTACAACCAGTAAAAAGTTATGAGGTAACAAACATAAAAAAAACATACAGTCGAATTGAGTACCGTCTCCTTTTTGGAAGTCGGCAGAAAATATAGAAATAATTAAGTTGTAATAAATTACATATATTGTACCTGCAGGGATTGTGTTTCCTAATATTTTATCTGCTTTTCCCGCATAATGCCTTATGACAGATGCTGAGAAGTAAACTTCTTCCTCGGCTTCTTTGATTGGTTTCCCGCAGTCGAGTGTTTCCAGTTCGGCTAGATATCTCGCCTGAGACTCGATCAGGTCGGCCAGTTTAAGCATCAGCACACCTCGTTGTGAAGCGTCCATCTTCCGCCATTCTGAGTAGCGGTGGAATGCTTTCTTTGCTGATGCGACTGCTAAATCGATATCGGCCTGCACAAAGTTAAGTGTTTAAAAACACAAACCACTATAAATATGCACGCAGCACGAACGTGAAAACATACACGGGATAAAATTAGGATTGGCTTGACTTTATTGTTGTAAATTCTTATGAGAAATAAAGATATCTCAAACCTCAATAGTGATGATGTTCACTAAGCTAACAACATCCGAATACTCTAAAGTTGTACTGAGCACTAATAGTACCCAAAGTAATGCCTATAATATGATAGGCTAGGATGTAACGTTCGCGATACGAGTACCATCGTTATAGCACCAGACTCGAGAAACATCAAAATTTGTATGAAACGTTTGCTCCATCTTGAATTTGATTTTCACCGGTATCTTAAAAAACATTCATACGAACTGGAGCAGCGAGGCAGCCAAATTATTTTATAACCCTCCCAGTAATAAGAGGACGCCTGTGCCGACGTATATAGGCTGTAAATTTACTTTTTTAATATCAGTATAAAATCGGTTTCAATAACCGTTATCGTTACAGCCTATTAAAGTCCACTGCTGAACACAAGTCTCCCTCATAGCTTGCCTCATAGAGGGGATATTTGCCATAGTTGCCACGCTTGGCAATCGCAGTTTTTTTAAAACTGCTGTTTTAATAAATAAATAATAAATTCAACTTTATATCTTTATAACTATGCAATAATTGAATCATTACGGATAAAGAAGATTCTCAGTATATAAGTATAAGGTGATTCCTATATTTATATGAGGAAAATAATAACTAAAAATAAATCGATTTTAAAATAATAATTGCGAAAACACATAATTTATCATTACCTTATCTCCTTCAGCAACTTGAGCGATAACTGTCTCATCTTGAGGATTGATGGTTGGGAATGTCTTCTTACTGACAGCGTCCACCCATTCATTGTTGATAAACAACTGTTGGGAAAAAATAACATTACGTATCACAGCTGCTTTTTATTTATTAAAAGATAACATCAATGCCCCTTAACTACTACTCCTAAATATTGCAACGTACTAGCCGTTCATATTACAACTTTTTAGAGAATAAAATTCTTAAAAAAAGTTGTATTTGAAAATAAGGGTAATTGGGTGATCACTCGCACCAGGTTGCTGACGACAGCAACACGTACCGTGTATACACAATGATATTTATGTATAAAAAGGTTACGTTACTAATACGCCAGAACTGAAGCGTCAGAAAGTGGTCAATTAGCCACTCCAGCCCTTGGCTAACAAATATGACGCCATGACGTCAAATGTTTAAAAAAAGAAAAAGCTGTGGATGCTCACAGTGGTTTGTGATAAGTTTGTTGTGTATATTTTTACATGTAGTAAAACAAAAAAAAAAGGACGTTCGGCTCTATAGCACTTATCCGAACAGAGGTACGAGTATATCAAGATACCAATAACGGGTATTTTTTTGCATATAACTTTTATGTTTTTCGCAGTTTTAGGTACTCAGTTTTAGGAAACAAAGATTCAGAATCAATGATTGTAGGAAAAATATATCAATATCCATCCAGTGTTGAAACAACTAGACTAGATTTTCTTAGCTATTTCCATAGCACAATTTGTACGGTATTTTGCTATGGGGACATTCGACTGACAATAAAATTATATTTGTTTTGCAGAAGAGGACCATAAGAGAATTGTATGATTAAAAACCTAGTCTCTAAGACAAAAATTCTAAGAAATTAATATATTAAGTTTGGCTGCTTAATATATCTACTGTAATGTCACAAAAATATTAGTAGTTTTAATGAATTAAAAGATATTCACTCTGTAAATATAGACACAAGCTAATACTACCTAGCAGTTACTCTATGCAGTTACTCGACTTCACAGAGTTAGTAATTCATACAAAATCTGACTTCCGCCAAATTTAAAATTTCCATTAAACAAAAGTTGAATAAAAAGCATTAAACAAAATTATTATAATATTAAGGAATTTATGGATGATAATAAACCCTAGGAACGAGGTGATCGCTACCAAGCTATTTCTAATTTGTTTTGTGTTGCTTATTTTTGTATAACATCTGGGTTTCTTGCTAGTTATTTCTAGGTCGGAGTTATTTTCCGAACCAGTGGTAAATTAAACGTAAGAGTGACTTTCAGTAAGTATTATTTATAATCTATATTGAATGACGGCTTCAATATAGATTCAATATAGATTATAAATAATAAAGACGGCTCCGTGGCGCAGTGGCTTAGCAATGAGTTGTGCGCTGGGGGCCGCGGGTTCAAATCCCGCACGAAACAAGTATTTATATGGCCTACAAATAATTGTTGCGGGTCTGGATGTTTGTCCTCGTGCAATTTATGTATGTAAACTGCTTCCACAACACAGGAGAAAATCCTAGTGTCGGGGTAGCGTATAAAAAATTTTCTATTTCATCCAGAAAATGAATAATAATCAGTAATAGTGAGGGAATTAGTAATTGCGGGTCTTCAAGTATTCGTCAATTTACATGGTATGTCGTTTTTACTAAATATTATTTAGAGGGTATCTTGAGAAATAAAAAAAAACATTTTTTGTAAATTATATAGAATAGCAAAAACAAACATTTGTAACATACAAAAAGGTAGTTAGTTAATATTTATAAAAATCACATTGTAACAATGTTTGTAATCGCGTCGTCTAAATCGGCTCTTACGGTTTATTTAAGATATTACAGGTTTATGGGGGTGAAAAATCGATTCAGTTAGATCACATTTCTGGAAAAATTAATTTCCTCAGTGTTTTGACATACAATCTTAATATGCCGTGATATATAATTAGTGATTTCGCCGTATAAATAATTTTCTTAATAGAGTGCGCGAGTTTGAATCTTGTTATTATTATTTTTTGGATTTTGGGTTTTAGTATTCTAGCCCATATAGCCCAATAGCTAGGCAAAAATAAATCATTATGGACCATTAGGCAGTTTGTTTGCGGTTTTACATTTTTAGGCGCTATACGTATTAAAAGCTTCGATCGAAATGCGTAGGTACAGAAAGCCATTGTTTTATCGATATATGTATAATCAAACATATGTAGTACTTGTTCAATAAAATTAAAAGATAATATGTTTATTATACATATTAAATATATTTTATTATTATACATATTATATATATTTTGGTACGACTTTCCATTGACGTCAGTGGAGTTTGGTGTTGATACGTATTTTTACAGAAAGATTACACTATTATAAGCACACACACAAAGTCTCAATATACGGAAACGCGTAATTTTTGAGAAAAGAATAATTGAAAATCAATTATTCTTGCAATGTTTATGTCTAATCGGCTAATAAACTGGCGCCATTTTGTAATGTCATTGTCGACGTCAATAGGGATGTCGATTCTTTCCGAAATAGATCGATTTTTTAAATAGATTCGAATTGTAAGCTGATGTATCGATTCCCAAAAAATCGATTTCTAAAATATCGATATTTTTTTCATGTTTGCATTTATAATGTAAATATAAATCCATTTTATGAGAAAAAATCCCCTTCATCATAAAAAAATAAGGGGACTGATTCATAAAGATTTCTGTATCTATTTTGAGACTGCTACGTCTCCGGCGCTGCGGGAAGAGCAACCTCTACGCCTTAGCGTAACAAATCGCAGGTATCCCTCCTCGCCTCAGCCGCTCCGGCTCGTCCGATGCCTACGATTTGTTACAGCAGGCGGAGGCTGCTCCCCCTACGCGCCTCCGGCTCTATAAAACCACTCTAGTGGTAGGACAGACTCGTACCGGGTGGAGTCGGGGTCAATCAATTCGGTTCTTTGACATAAGTTGAACCTAACCTATTTTATTTGTTATCTGCCCTAATAGGTACCGTTAAATATAACAAATTTCAATAAGAGATCATTTATCATGGTATCTTTCTTGTTTTTCATAAAATGGGTTTATATTTACATTATAAATAGAAACATTTAAAAAATATAGATATTTTAGAAATCGATTTTTTGTGAACCGATACATCAGCTTACGATTTGAATCGATTTAAAAATCGACCTTTTTCGGAAAGAATCGACATCCCTATTGACGTCGACAGTGACATTACAAAATGGCGTCAGTTTATTAGCAGATTAGACATAAACATTGCAAGAATAATTGATTTTCAATTATTCTTTTCTCAAAAATTACGCGTTTCAGTATATTGAGACTTTGTGTGTGTGCTTATAATAGTGTAATCTTTCTGTAAAAATACGTATCAACACCAAACTCCACTGACGTCAATGGAAAGCTAAGCCTATATTTTGATTCGTACATATGTGTTATCCCTGAGAAAATGGCCCAGGTACTATTTTTTAAGTAAAGATCGTAAAGTTAGTGCGTGCGTGCATGCGCACGTTAATGTACATGTGCATGTGTGTTTGTATGTGCATGTGCATGTGTGTTTGTGCGTGCGTGCGTGCGAGCGTGCGTGTGAGCGTGTTTGTGCGCGCGTGCGTGCGTGCGTGCGTGCGCGCGCGTGCACCTGTGTGTGTGTGTGTGTGTGTGTGTGTGTGTGTGCGTGTGTGCGCGTGCGTTCGAGCGCGCGTGTGTGCGTGAGTCCGTGCGTGCGTGCGTGCGTGAGTGCGTGAGTACGTGCGTGCGTGCGTGAGTGCGTGCGTGCGTGCGTGCGTGCGTGCGCGCGCGCGCGCGCGCGTGTGTGTGTGTGTGTGTGTGTGTCTGAATTAAACGCAAATACAAAAGGTTCAAAGCGTCCTGCATTTTTTAAAAACCCTGTTTTATATCCTATATTTAATATTTCCTATAAATATGTTAATGCATAATTTTTATTAACGTTAATATATTGCTTTATAAAACCCCGGCACTAACATTACGCGATTTCATCGCATTTGATTTTAACTTTTTCATGCTTATTTTTAATTTCCGATTTCGATAAAGTTTACAGCACATATGGTCACGTAGGGTGTAAGGTGTTTGATGTCCAGATGTCATAGTTATGCTGAATAGCTTCAGCTTTTGAATTCTATTAATTTTTAGTCCGATCCACGCAGAACAACATAATGGGGGATTTTATCAATAAACCTTAGTCCTTATTAGACCAGTCATTCGTTATTGGTCATTATAAGCATTTCTTATTAAATTATTTAGAAAGTTCTAGAAGCAAAATATATAATCATTAATTAATGTAGGTACATATATCTCATTAGCAGAAAGTGGATAAGAAGTCTTTTTGGCAATCTCATAATTTGAGTTTTATAAATCCATTTCAATTTTGGGAAGTTACGACTAATTTAAATCAGAATTCATTTAAATACTAGATTTCATTACATTTCATTGTTAATTAAATAACATTTTATTGTTTCGTTATAATATAGAAAAATATGCATTTGCAAATATGATACATTTAAAGCAATCAACACAATATCTATTAACATTATTTATAGATTAGATTAGATAGAAGCAAAGCGAAAAAGATTGCGTACCGAACGGAGATCCCGGGACCTTTCGTATACGTTGATAATGGCGACCCTGTGGATTTTTTTAGCTGGTAAAGGTCTGCCATAACCTTGCCGTTACCCCCCCCCCCCCGTAAGAGAGAATTTCCGCAAATTAAATAAAGTATACCATATGTTACTTTTGAAAAACTAGTGTTAAGTCTAAATGAGGGTAAATACATATTCACGGAATACCTACTGACAAAGTCAATTCTAGTACAACTATCTACCTATTATTTAATAAATCCTTTCAAATAAAATGGAAATTGCTAATAGAAACATGAAGAAATTATAATATTGCACAACTACACGGCAAGCAATCAAAGTAAAAGTGTGTTTATCAGTAAATGTATGTATTTATTTTGTTTTTTATTACTCAAATAATTGTAAATATATTATACATACTAATTTTAAGTGTTACAGGATTTTCACTAGAACTTACCTTTGTGTATTTAACGTCCACTTTCACCATTTTGCTATAAATTTAAAACCTGAATATTTTTGCACACTGTTCACGCCGGCTAGCGGCTACGTAAAACTGACTGAGTGTGGCACTTTACAATGGCACTTTACAGATTAATGAAAGCATGCGCCGGCTCGTCATTTACCAGTAAAATAAATTCTCCTGTGAATTTGGGAGTAATTCGGTTCACCAGTATAAATAAATTTTCAATTTATTTTTCATTCTTCATCAACCCGTAAACAATTCGACGTTTAGCTTCGTTCCTTAAAGATTTTTTTCGTAATATCAAGCGCTGGTGGGTATATTAATAGTCAATCGCCGCACCGGTCTGAAAATTTTATATAGTTTGTAGGTTAAAAACTAGATGTTTATATCGCTATTTGCTTATATCAGAATCATACAAGATCTTCTGTGCATTATTTATTACCGTAAGGAGAATTATATATTTTTTTCAATCATTCAGCACAACCTAACATATTATGTCGATGAACATAGGCCTCCCTAATAGACTGCATTATAGAGGAATATTTGCCATAGTTTTGCCATGCTTGGCAGGTGGGTTGGTAACCACAGTTTATTTTAATTATTTTGAGTTGTTATCAGGAAGATGCTGCTGCCCATTTTCTATTTAATTTTTTCTCTTACGACACCCAGGGAATGACATGTGTAGTGGATTCTCTTACGCTGAAACTACACGACACTCTTACATTTGATGACACAACAATGTTTGCAACAGCAATGTATAAGTAAATTATTAGTAGTCATTTGTGTATGCGTAGACATAATGAAAAATCGTGAGGCATATAGATATGTAATAAAAGTATATAACCTTTATTAACATCTTCCTTGACCGCGAAAAAGACACAATAGTGAAACAATTTAAAAGTTCGTATATGACTCATGGGACAAATTGTTAAATTGATAGTAATTTTCTTTGTCGCTGTGAGGCCTTTTTCACACCGTAGGCGATAAAATAGTGTCTTAATTAATTCACTATATTAACTTGATGACATACAATAAATGGGGAAAAAATAGGCTGTAAAAGTACACTTCAGCAAAATTTAATTAACAAGTGGCAACATGACCTTCAAATTGAAATTCTGAATCAGATAAAATTCAACAAATCAGCCGTGTGGTTATGTAACTCTGGTGATAATTGTTTCACGATGAGTATTCCTCCGTTACTGAGTAAAGTTTAATCATTTTAATAACATTTTTAAGCTAAAATAATTACGTAAAATAAGACGTCGGCTTAAAATTGCCACTGATACATTCATTCAATAAAAGGAACTTGAACGTCAATTAAGGTACGTTGGGGTAATACCGAACGGATTTTCGAATAGTTGGAAGAGTCTGCCAAAAACTTTAATTTCTCGACATTCGTATACGTCAGATTTATGGAACATGGAGCAAACCGTTAATCGTTAAACGTAGTTTAGCTCTGAGAATCTTTTGCTTGTGTAAACTCAACGGTTTCTGCTTTAAAGGTGTGCGAAAACTAGACATACTTTTTTATATGCATAATGAAAAATTGACCATTAAGGGGTAACTGGACTTAAATTTAAAACCACTTCTACTGCTTAGAGAAAAAAGTGTATAAAAGAGATTTGTCCTATCTTTAACGCTTATAAACATATTTCAATATGATCTATAAATTACTAGAAACATAAATGTTCCAAACGATTTTCTCTTTTTTTGTTTCTTGCCATCCGATCTTATCCCTGATATAAAGAAATTGTAATTTTATGTTTCTCAAACTTTGTTATGACATAAGATGGAATTACTCAATATAAGAGAAAGATCGGATGCATTTGATTTTATATGGGAAAAAAAAAATAACAGTAAGGACTGGCGAAATGCCCTGGGATAATGCAGGAGTTAAGGAAGATATAAATATTTTAACAAAGCGACATTTATTATTATAAATTATTTTTTAAATAATTATTATAAATTACATTTTGATTTGTAATAGAGGATAGATATAGATGTCTATGGGCCGCAGCAATCACTTAACATCAGGTGGACTGTGTGCTCCTTTGTCACCCTTATCCTATAAAAAAAATGTATTTTAATGTGTACTTAAAAGTAATAAAACCATCGTATTATTTTATTACTTTTAAATATACAGACTTGCTAACGAGACTGAGTCCCATAGTCACTTGAGTAATCAACGAAAAAATATACACGACCAATGAAAGTTTAACAACCACTGCCATATTTGTAACAGGCAAAGATCGGATAATATCCATCCGATCTTCACTCACGAGGGGAAACATCGGATCTCGGCCTACAGCGATCTTAGCCCTGCATGGACCAGCTTTATTTAGCTATAACTTCATAAAAATTAGTATCCACACAAAATAATAACAAAAGAAGCCATATTCTCGCTAAAAATCGTAAATAAAAGTGATAGGGAAAGATCGGATGGACAAAAATAATACTCGTACAAAAATTACATTGTTTTATAAAATGCCACGCAGCACAGGTCCCACTTGCCGGAGTGACTGGCGCGAACTGAGGGTCGGGGCAGGATGAAATGGCGTCGTGTAGCATATTGTTAGCTTTTCAAAATATAGCATAATTCGCCGGGAATTTGAATTCTACGGTCTTGCCCCATCATCGATCTTACCCCAACGTACCTTAAATGTTAAAATTAAAAACCTTCACCGAATTGTGATGTATGCCAGGAGGTTGTTATTATATTATAACCTCCTTGGATGTATGTAACAAAATTGAAGATGTTTACTATTTGTTGATGGAGTGTGTCAAGAATGAAAAAGATAGACAGGCTGTGTTGAAAGAATGTAACGCAAATGTTTTGGATATCGATCTAGTGCAAATGGTTTTATCAAACCCCAAATCAAAGATGTCAAGAGGGTTATTCCGGCTTGCTTCTAGGACGGAATAATTATCTTATCTATCTTTTATAAGTTTCATTTTCCTGCTAGTAATTTAACTATAGTACTCTCAATTATACATTTTTATTTTGTTATAGTGTTAACGGTAATTAGTATAAGGTATAATGGGATTGCCATGTCATTTTGACAAAAATCCCAAAAATATTAAAGAAAAAAAGACAACCACGATTTCCACCAGAGTTACAAAATGAGGCGATGGATGATCCACGACTTTTTGTGCCACCAGGGCGGCGCCACTTAAAATGAGATATAATATTTGACAGATTTAAAAGTGGGAAGTTTATTTGTTCGAAAAATGTAAAGGTTAATGTTTCTTTCTGCACATGAGCACATGAGGAAAGAAACTGTACAGAGGCAAAGCTTCTAAAGAGCTGTCAAAGTTTTTACCTATTTTGGTAGGGTTGGCACACGAGGATAAAAGTAAATAAACAAATCGTTTATCAGCATTTTAATAGATACTTAAGATATAATATTTTTTATAGATGACATATTCTAAATGTTTTACTTTTGTAATTATTGTTCTTCAACAATTAGTTGTGGCTTTTAATTAAATAATAAATTATTTTTGATTAAAGTTTTTTTTTCTAATAATCTCTTGGAAAGCACTCGCATTTTATGACAAATATCTATAAAATCTTACACACGTTTTAATCACTACTCTAATTTACAATGTTTCTTTCGACGTCAAAATATTTGCGAAATTTTTGCTCAAGCAATTCAACAAACACGATAAAATTGTAAAGAAGTATTATTAAAAAACCCGATTGAAAACTATCTTTATTAAAATCCTTGTAATGGCTGAAAAAAGAATATGTTCAGATCTATTAACGTACAATTTTATTTTCTCACATTTGTGGTGTTCGAGACAACATTTTCTATACAAATATGCAGACACGTAGACTAAACTATTTTTCTGGTAAACCAAATAGTTGTTCAATCGTTTGTTCCTACTACTAACACAGAGGCAGTAACATTGTCAGGTTGCGGTGATGGTGTATTAAAATACGACAATCGTCTGGTTTCATAAGTAACATATCGAAATCGTATTAACAAATAGTATTTAAGGTTTCCCTAAGATACTGGTTATGAACATCTTATTGAAGGCAATACTAACTAGACGACATGTTGATTCCTGGCAGTTACCACCCGCCTGACTCACTTTTCCAAAGAAATTATAGGAGACAATCTTTATTGAGACGTCTCTTTAATATAAATTAATTTAATTTCTTCTGATTTTAATTCTTCATGAAGTTTTATTAAATAATTTATAGACACTTGAAATCCGTGAATGTTCTGTCTGAATAAGTTCCTGAAAAATGGCATTTCTTCTAAAAGCTCAATTTGATAATTATCGCATCGAAAATCTCTTTTATATTTATGAGGAGATCGCAGTGTACTTGAGTTTAAGAAATCAAACAAATTATTAATTTTATTTACAAAATCTGTTGCGGCAACCCCAATAAGATTTAAATCTACGTAAACCATATTTACACTTTTTTATATTTCATTTGATACAAATTATTCTTCGAAATACAAAATTTGACATTTATTATTTTTTACACAACCCTGAGTTTGAACACTGGCCGAGCCGGTTTAAAGCAGTTTCTTTCCGTACGCGAGTCGCCAGTGCTCACGCACACATGCACCTTAAGCTTGAAGTAGTGTACCTATCACAGCGAGGTTGTATGCAGCTTTGCCTCTGTACGCTACGATTTCTTTACTCATGTAGTATTAGTTACATTTTATATTAAATAGATTAAAAATAAATAAATCCAACCACAGATAAACATAAAAGTAGATAAATTAAAAAAAAATGTGCAAAAATGAAAGAGCACTAGAGTACTAGAGCACTATCTATCTATCTCTAGAAACTGATATAATTTAAAACTAACTTCTCAGTTAAAATACATTGTGTAACAAAAACTTCACCTCAGTGTCAACTAGCGACATCTGTTGAGCGGATGATTATTAGCCCTCATTCTTTTCTTATAAAAGATTTAGGTATTTATATATGTTATATATTTGTATATATAAATAATTAGATATATTTTATCTATATCTAAAATCAAATAAAATATATTATTTTTAGAC